AATGATAATGATAATGATAATAATAATAAATTAATATTTTAAAAGGAGGCCTCCAGTCACCTAGGGTCCTCTAAAAAGATAAAAGTCTAAAATATATATTAAATGTATTAAAACTAGGTTAAAACTAGAACTAGGATTCAAAATACTACTACTAACTAGGTTAAAAACGTAAATATGCAAAAAAACTAAGGTGTCCATAGGGAAAGGCCCGGGATGCTCCTGGAAAATTTGATTTAAATCTTTAAAGGAGACCAACCCATCTTGATGGCTAAAACTAGTAACGTTTCGCTCTGAACACCCTAAGTGATCAACATCCGAGACTGACACCCCCAAGCGAGTGCGACAGGCATCACCGACCTTTTCAAATAAGAGTCCCCCCGGGATTCTCTTCTGGTCTGCTTTTGATCACTCTTTGTCTAGAATGTTCACGTGACACTTGAAAAAGATTAGCTTTTGTCAAACGCCAGCTGTATTCCGTTAGAGTTACTGATGCATATACATCGCTTGGAAAAGCTAGAAATGGCTTTGAAACCCCTCATCTTAAGCGTATCAAACTATGATTTAATTGTCCTTTCTTACTCTCCCAGGTCTGTTGTGGAAACAAGGTATTCTCGAACGCCAAATTCTGCTGTGGACGAGTCGGTTATAATCCTATGACCCAAACCTGTTGTGGCGGGCGGGTTCTTACACCCCATGGTGGACCCTTCCATGGCTTGAGCAGATGCTGTGGAGGATCACTGTACAATCCAAGTTTTCAGGATTGCTGCCACGGAAGATACACAAGACCTAAAGGCTGCTGCTACATCAGGCATCAGAAGGGATCCCAATACAGCAATAGATTTTGCAGCGAACTTCAGTAGTCGACGCACAGCAATGAAATTACGTCGAGGAGAACTTTGAATATACACAGTGTAGCTTTTTTCCAAGTTACTGCAGCTGATTTACTGTCTGCTTGAGACTTGCTGGCAAACGGTATAAAATTATGCTAAGCATTCCAATAAAGGTTTTTTTTACATTTGGGTCTTGCCTTCATATATTTCAGTTCACTCTATTCATTCTGATAAAACAGTTTTAGTCGGCTCATATCCTTTCGGATCTTCTCGTTACCCTTTGCCACAACTGCCATAGTGTAGACAACTTTAGAGGAGCTTATGCAAGGAATATATTAGAACAAGACTCTGTCTCCCTCGCTTTCCTGACAAGCTTCATTCAACTGAAAAAGTGAACAACATGCGACTAATGTTCCCTTTCCATGCTGTCACTTCGTCTAGAACAAACCGAAATGTCCACATTATCAGCTAGATTTAATTAAAAACACTTATTAAAACAATTACACCATTCTCCCTCTTTAGAAGCGGTATGTTTTTTTTACAATAATTGTCTAAGTTCTCGCGCGCTGATTGGCTCATTTTTATCATCAATAAGAGTAGAGACGGATAAAAGTTTAATTTATGCAAGCTTTCAAGTTCAACTTTCAGCTGTCAAACTGTCAACTTTTTAACCAATGAGGTTTTACGGACTTTTTTAGTAGCCAATCAAAAAGCAACAAAACCTATTGACAATGCTCGCGTCATTTTAAATAAAATTCACTTATCTTTGTCTACAGCAAGTTTACGGCGTCTTTTCCCCTCATTTATTCTCAGCATTTGACCATTTTGGTGTCTTGTTATTGTAAAAAACAACTTGACGTCAGTTTTTTATGCGTTTTTCCTCATATTGATGATAAACTTCGTCATAACATTGTCAAAGTGTACAGCGGAACCACTTTGACGAAGTTATGATGCAATTATCATCAATAAGAGGACAGACGCATAAAAAAACTGATGTAAATTTGTTAAATAACAAACTCGGCGCGTCGTTTCTACTCGCTTGTTATTTATCATCTCGTATCCTACGCATTTTAGGTGTGAACGGTCCAATCAATAACAAAAGTGCACCGACTCAGTTCAATCTATTTGACATGTATACCGGTTCGCCAGCGGAGAAATTTGAAAACGCAGCTTTATTTTTACGATTAGATCTACCGTCCGCACTAATCCGTCACGAAAACGGAGCTTTTCGAAAACGCTCTTGAATTGAAACCAAAGGCTGAATTTGAAAAGCGCA